CACACAAACATTAAATACTAGAGATCTAGTTTCTTTTAGAGACCCCCCCCCCCCCCTGCAAAATTAAAGCTAAACTGAAAAACAGCACACAGACACGTCTTGAGCAAATCCATTTTGTTTTATTAAGTTTTTTTTAAACTCATAACAGTAAGAGTCAATTCTAACAATAATAAATGTGCATAAAACAAGTCTTTTAGAATGCAGCACAATATCTTACAGCAACTATAAGCAAAGGGCAGGTGTAAGATTCCATGGAGGGCGTTAAGCATCCAAGCAAGTGCTTTCAGCAGGCAGGACCACCTATGGATTTTTTTGGGGCGTCCGGGACGGGACGGCCCACCAGCTTTTAGGCATTGAGTTAAGTGAAGGAAAAGTGATGCTTTGGTTTAATAGCTCTTGTGCAGCAACCTCAAATGAGTAAAACGCTGACCTCAGCGGAGGATTTGACAGTTACATTCATTTCATTTGTTGTTGTATTTATGTGTGTGTGTGTGTATTGTCGGTGTCCTTTCCCTGCTGAAGGCACATTACCATATAAGAAAGCAACTCTTCTGTCGTGTGTTAAGTGGACATCTTTTAGCATCTAGAGTCGGTCTGAAGGCCTTTTGTAATAACTGTACTGTACGGTTATACTCTGATGGGTTATCTGTGAACGGTGCCTCGGATATATCGATCGAGATACTTGATTTACACTATGCTGTGGTGATGATAGTTACTGTGAGAAATTAACTTATCTACGTACTTAATTATCTATTATGAGAGTTAATTTTTACTCGTCATGCAGTTATTTAAGTCCATCATAATATAACAAACACGCTGTTTTGTTGAAAGGTCTATTGGTAGGCTAAAGAAATCCCAATTTCCCACAGTGGAAATCATGACGAGGCGGAGTGTAATGCCAAATTCTCTCGGTACGTGTCGGTGTACTGTATATGCAGGCAACGCGGAGCTTTGTTTATTTTTTATTTTTTATTTATTTTTTGATGAATGTGATGGTCGGAAATGATAATAAAAGAGCTGTGCCGTATTTCTGCAAGCATCATCTGTTAGCTGGACTATTACTCTAATTCTTAAATTATCCTAAGAAAAATTTCTCATAGTTATAGAATCTTTTATTATTCAAAATAAGATCTCAATATTATACATGTTCCTTTTCTTTTCTTTATATTGACTATGTACAGAAGTGCAAAAAGTCAACCTTCGTCCCTTAAGTTATGGCTCTCTCTCTCTTTCTCTCTCTCTCTCTCTCTCTCTCGTATGCAGCTCGACCCTGTGACCTCCCTCTCCTTTGTTTTTAACATCTTTAAATATTCAGAAATCTCTAGAGACAAGTTGCTGCTCGTTTTGGCCTCGAGGGATGTTTTTTTTTTCCTTTTTGTTTTTTGAAATATTACAAGACGATTTTTATTTTAATTCTGAAATGCATACAGTAGAAAATAACTTCTTTCGCATATACAATTGATACTTTAACCAGCTAATTGCACCTGCTTCGAATGTTAGCATTAGATTCAATGGGCGTTATCAGTGGTTATCAGCTGATAGATATGGGCCAGTAGGGGCCTTCTGCGCCTACTTGTAGGCCCAAAAGGATGGTATCATCCATGCACATGGTTAATCAGCTATACTAATAGAGAAGACTTCAGATCCAGGACTGTTTAATTACTGTGACAGTTGGGGTTTGGGTTGGGGTAGGGGCAGGGGCGGATTTAACCAATAAACAGGGTAAGCGAGGTAACCAATAAGTAAGTAGGGTGCCAGGAAATTTGGGGCCCCCCATAAATGCCTAGACATATAAATTAAACCAATATATTATATATAACATTTAAACAGTTGAAGTCAGAATTAGTAGCCCCCCTTTGATTTTATTTTCTACTTTAAATATTTCCCAAATGATGGTTAATAATCACAGCATTTCCTATAATATTTTTTCTTCTGGAGAAACTCCTTTTTGTTTTATTTCAGCTAGAATAAAAGCATTTTTTAATTTTTTAAGGTAAAAATTAGCCCCTTTAAGCTATATATTTTTAAGATCGTCTACAGAAGAAACCATTGTTATACAATAACTTGCCTAATTACCCTAACCTTCCTAGTTAACCTAATTAACCTAATTAAGCCTTTAAATGTCACTTTAAGCTGTATAGACGTGTCAGAAAAATATCTAGTCAAATATTATTTACTGTCATCATGACAAAGATAAAATAAATCAGTTATTAGAAATGAGTTATTAAAACTTTTATGTTTAAAAATGTGTTGAAAAAAATCTGCTCTCCGTTAAACTGAAATGGGGGAAAAAATAAACAGGAGGGCGAATAATTCAGACTTCAACTGTACATGTATAATGTATAACATATATAATGTTTTCAATCATGTTTTGTATGGTGAGGGTCTAACAAATAAAATGTTAACGCTAATTATTACATCTATGCAAAAATCAGTCAAATCAGGTAAAGATTTAATTTTAAAAACGAAATAGATACATTAATAAAATATAATTAATGGGAAATGTAATAAATATTATAAATAATTATCATGGTTAATCAGCTATACTAATAGAGAAGACTCCAGATCTGTTTTTACATTACTGTAAAGGTTGGGTTTAGCCGGCAGCTAGCTCTATGCAACTCTCACATGGCAGCCCATTGAAGCTAAGCAGGGCTGTGCCCGGTCAGTACCTGGTTGGGAGACCACATAGGAAAGCTAGGTTGCAGCCGGAAGTGGTGTTAGTGAGGTCAGCGGGGGATGCTCAACCTGCAATCTGAGTGGGTCCTAACGCCCCTGTATAGTGAAGGGTACTCTATACTGCTCAGTAGTGTCTTTCGGATGAGACATTAAACCAAGGTTGTTTAGGGGTTTAACCCCGCAACCTGGACAAATTTGCCCACTGGCCTTTGTCAATCATAGCCTTAGTATTGCTCTGAATCCACATCATAATTAGCTTCATCTGGTGTGTGATCTGGCTGCTGTCAAGTCATCCAGATAGATGCTGCACACTGTTGGTGGAAGAGGAGATCCCCCCCAAAAATGTTTGTAAAGCACTTTGATTGTCCAGAAAAGACGTTAGATGTTAATAAAATACAACTAATGGGAAATTTAATAAATAATATAAATAATTATTGTGGTTAGTCAGCTACACTAATAGAGAAGACTCCAGATCCAGATGTGTTTTTACATTACTGTGATGGTCGGGTTTAGAGTTGGGGTAGGGGTAGACATAATAAAATATTATCTATTGGAAATTTAATAAATAATATAAATAATTCTCGTTAACTTTCAGCAACAGCTGTATCTGATCTACAGCTGGTTAACCATGTGGGTGGATGATAACAGCCTTCTGAGCCCACCAGTATGCGCAGAAGGCCCCTACTGGCCCATATCTATCAGCTGATAACCACTGATAACGACCAATCAATCAAGTGATAACATTTGAATCAGCTGCTAATTGTATATGTGGACACAAAATAAAGGGTTAAAATATCAACCTTACTATAGCTACAAATAAACTCTCTTTCTGTCGTTGTCACTCACTCACTCACTCTTTTTTTTAAGACAAGATAAAACATTTTGTTCAACGAAAACCAAAATTCTTTGAAATTTCAAACATTCTACGCTGAAAAACTAACATGAAGAATTAAGAATACACTACTCGCTAGACATGATGAACTTAAACATGATGTGAAAGTAAAAGTGACAGTAAGAAAAACAATAGTTCATTTCCTACATTCTAAAACAGTTCAAATACAAAAGAAAAACTAAATCTTTATATGCAAACAACACAATATATTTTCTAAACAAAGGCTTCGAAACATTAAGTGTAACATGATTAATTAATATACGCGTAAAATAAGAGTGAAGAGTAAAATCTCATCTGCTGTCATTGTTTGTTGTGATTGAGAGAATGTTTGTGTGGGTTCAAACACTGAAATATAAGGCTTTTAGTGAGGAAACGGCAATGGTGTGCATCCTTTCAAGTCTGTGCACCAAAACCAGGCTGAAATCCAGACTCAAGACCACCCTGAATTTCTTGAGAATCGGGCATCTACTCATTTCCTCTTGAGTCTGGTTGTGGCGCTAAAAACCCTTCACCGTAAAGACGTGAACGTCCTGGTTTGTACGTAAAATTAAACTAGCCTACACAAATGATTCGTCTTTCATGATCAGTATACCCAGTCAAAACATATTTAAATAAAAAATAATAATAATAATAATAAAAGAGAAAAGAAAGACTTTGGCACAAAGTAATGGTTAAAACACCTCTGTTATACAGCGGCCAAAAAAATTCATTAAAAAAAAAAATTCAAAATCGAAATAGAGATCAACACAAATGAGAACTGAAGACGAACCCTGACCCAACACTAACCTTGTCTTTCCATGAACCAATTCTCGCAATCTGTAACCAAATACTCAAGCAGTGCTTTAAATTTTAGAGTCTTCGTACGGCGAAGACTGGAACGCTAAAATACGCTCTAAAGGACAACCTCCTTGGTGACATTCTCTCGATCAAGGCAATAGAAAGAAACAGGGCATCAGGAACAAGGCAACCCTGTTCTCAAAGGAGTCAAAAAGGCTTCATCGTTCTACAAGGCCTAATGGATGATCAAATAAAAATGGCACGTTTCATAAAAAACCCACACACTTGTGAAATTATGTATAAAAACAAGCGCTGTAAAAAACATTAATCTCTGGTAAACATAATAACACTGTTGATATAACACTCTAGATCGGTGTCTGGTATTCAGCCGGTGGTTACGGTACATAAAGCTTGCAAGAATGTGCTTTTTTTAAAAAGGTCTCAGGTGATCGACCCAAAACATTCATCCGTCAATCTCCACTTCTTTTTTATCATACAATCTAGTTTGACTAGAAGCCAGAAAACGTGATTTAATTATTTCCGCTGGATGTTTTGTGCCGTGTCGACTTTTCGATTCACCTTTGTAAACCATCGGACGAATTTCGAGGACAGAAAAATCAAGGTGTGAATCACAAATAAAAAATAGCTCTTGGTCTACTAACATGCCAAAACGGTGTTCGGTCAGACATGAAAACAACTTTTTTTCCTACTGATCCTACTGGCTTGGGAGTTAAAAAATCAGTCCTGTCTGACATGACAGTGTAGTTCAATCGAATTCTACACATCATGCAGAAGGATGCTCAGATTCACCTCGGTTAAAGCCTACTATCGCCAAATTCTAATCTTCGTTGTGTGTTCTAGCCAGCGCAGGTCTTGATGTTAAAATTTGGAAATTTGTTGGTTCGCCTTTTGTCCGGGACAACAGCACATTCTTTTTGATCTGAGGGAGGAAAAGCACAGAAAAAGAACAGATTTAGAACACGTTTAAATATTTCGAATGTTTTAGAAGTTCTTTTCCATACAGAACACCCCACGGTCTCCAATCCAGCCGCTAACACTGTGGCATAAAAGCGGTGACAGGACGCTACTCGAGAGGCCCTGGATTTCTGTGTTGTGTTGTGTGTCAGTGAAATTGCCAATAGTATCTGGATGCAGCCTTTATGATGCAAACTGAGATTGCATCACGCAGCAATCCTTACATTTAAGGTTCATTGAAATGAGTATGATCTTTTACTTGATGTTAAATTGAGCTCCATCATGATTTGATGAGGTTAGCTACTAATGATAATGGACACTAATTTGAACTATAAAGGCAGACATAACTGGCCCCTCCACATAATGTCAGATTTGTTTATTATAGTCACATTTCTAATATTTTTTTGACATTTTAAGTTTTCAGTGTAAAGTGGGAGGAAAATTGTTCGATTTAAGGGTGATTGCCAGGGCTGAGCAATATTCTGATGTGGCTATAGCTGTGAAAAAGCATTTGTGAGGGCACAGAAAAGATTTAACTTGGCTATGTAACAGCAACAACTTCAGTCTGGATAAGCGTTTTCATTCTTGCACTAGTGCAGGGGTTTCCAAACTTTTCAGCCCGCAACCCACAAAATAACAATTCCAGAGACTTGCAACCCGCTATATGTTTTTAGGTGGTTATAAATATACAAATCTTGCATGCAACAGCACACACACACACACACACACACACTAATATGCCCAAGTCTATTCTTCATTTAATTTTAGAGAACATCACTCTGAGAGATTCCTCCATATTCAGTCATGGCCTTTATTTTTAATGTATGTTAGTGCTGTAAAGGTGTCAGAAAGTTTAAGCTGGTGCCATAAAATCAATCTGCTGCATCTGACGCTATTGCTGTGTCTTTGATATAAGTTATCACCCCAGGGGTCGCAATCCAATGGAAAAAAAATTATTGAAAGGCTAAAGGCAATTTATTTGCATGTTTTTTTTTTTTTAATATAACTATTAACTACTTCTGTAGGTTATGGATAGTAATGAATTAGATTTTTGGAAATCACCAAGCGACCCCCCGTCATTGTTGGGAATCACTGCACTAGTGTAAACGTGCAGTGTTAAGTGTAATGGCAAACTTTATCCTGCATTGGATCTTTAAACAGAATTGCAAACAGGCACAGAGCAGCCTTAATTCATGCATGCGAACATGGTCACTACAACTGTTTAGAAAAGAACTTCAGAACACCCCAAATGGGTCATTTAAATTCCTTAAAATATCTTTGTAAAGTTTGCATCTCAGAAAGTTCTTTTCAAAATCATTTGCAAACAAAAATACTCACAAAAAAGCATAATAAAAGTGGTCCATATGGCATAATCAGATTGAACTTAAACTGCGTCATAGTCCTTTTTTATTATTTTTTTTGTGGTATTTCATTTTTTTAAGCTTAACATGTTATTAGGAACTGCAGTTGTATGGAAAATAACTTTATCTGCATTTTCATTTTATGTTCTATGTAAAAAAAATTACCACAAAGTGGTTTGGAATGACAGAAGAGTCAATGAGAGAGAATCATGACCCAAATTGATTGCGCTTTTGCTTTAAATCCAACATTAAACTTTGAATTTCTCAGGCAGACAGAAGACAAATCCAGGAAAATCTCACTGAAAATCACTCACTGTTGTGGACTGGAATTACATCTGCGTCAAGTACTTGTGACTAGTCAGATGCTCCGCAGATATTATTGGAATCTGGAGATGAAAAGAGAGAAATGCATGAAACAAGATTTTCCTCGGGACCTTTATTTTGGCCAAAATCAGATCGAAGACTAAAATATTCTCCCTCACCCTCAATCCCTCCCCATGACAGTTAAGAAGAGAATGAGCCAAACAACACACAATTAAGAAATGCCATTGAGGAAAACCATTGCTTATTAGTACAACTCCTTCTCGAGTGCGGTAGGGACAAGTCAGTGTATCCTCATGCACATTCCATTTGTTTCCAACTTGCTGACCTCCACTTTTAATTTTAGAAACTGAAGGTATTTGTAAAGTCCCTGCTAATATTATGATTCTTGAAGGAACTTGGAAATATTTATATACTTTAGATCAGACTATTCTTTAATGGCGACCTGTTACAATGGTTTTTATTGATCATACACTGTCAAAAGCGATTAGTCACTTTACATAAAGACAGAAAACAAATTGAACAATCTAATTTGTATAATTATGCACATAGTTCATTTACTTATTCATTTTAAGGCAACAGGTTATCAATTTTTAAGTAGTCAACTAAAAGCTTTTTATAGTGTATGAGCAGAATTCAAATATAAATCTATGAGGAAAAAACACCGGAAAATTCTCAGTTCCTCTGGATTTAAAATGTATAGTTATGTGTCAGAATAAAATATCATTTTTGTTTTATTCTGCAAACTACTGATTCTATTTATCTCACATTTATAATACAAATTCTGTTATTTGGAGCATTAAATGACAGTTAGTCAAAACATAATAAGGTGGCATGTTTTCTAATATTAAATAATATATTTTAGGAAACCTAATACAAATGTTTAACTTCAGATGAGTTAAGAAAACAACATTTGGTGGAATAACCACTGATTTTCAAATAAACAAAGGAAAACATTTGTTTTTTAACCAATTTTCAGTAAAAAGATAAGAAAAAAATTAAATTGAGTTAATTTAAACTTAATCGCATTGAAAATAAAGTTTAATTTAAATATATGTGTGTATTATTTTATATATATATAATCAAAATATAAATATAAATAAAATTTATCAAATTTACGTGTGTACATTTTTATATAGGTAATAAATATATTATGCAATTAATCTTAGGGAGCACCCCATTTTTTATCATGCCAATATAGAATTAAACAAACATAAACAATTTACTCAAACACATCCCTAATAAGAATTCTGAAGTGGTCTATTATTCAAATGCAATATATAGCAGGACAAGAAAATGAAGCAAAGGAAATTAATATATATATATATAATAGTGTAAAGTGCCAGAAAAGGTACCGAAAAGGTACCTAAAGCAAAAAATCGAATGGAAAAACAACCTCATACATACCAATTGCATGTATTCGTTGGTAGTCAGCTTTGATAGAGAAGAGTCCTCAAAATAAAAAAGGACAAAAAAACAATATTAAAATGCGATGTATATCATCAATAGAGCAACAAATACTAGAAACAACCCTATTTACTATATATATATATATATATATATATATATATATATATATATATATATATATATATATATATATATATATATATATATATATACAGTTGAAGTCAGAATTATTAGCCCCCCTGTTATTTTTTTCCCCAATTTATTTTTAATGGAGGCAAGATTTTTTTCAACACATTTCTAAACATAATAGTTTGAAAAACTCATTTCTAAAAACTGATTGATTTTATCTTTGCCATGATGACAGTACATAATAATTTGACTAGATATTTTTCAAGAACCTTCTATACATTAACTAGGTTAATTAGGTTAATGAAACATGTTAGTGTTTGTTCTGTAGACTATCGGAAAAAAAAAATAGCTTAAAGGGGCTAATAATTTAGACCTTAAAAGGGTTTTTTAAAAATTAAAAACTGCTTTTATTTTGGTAAAAATAAAACAAATAAGACTTTCTCTAGAAGAAAAAAAATATTATCAGACATGCTGTGAAAATGTCGTTGCTCTGTTAAACTTCATTTGGGAAATATATATATATAAAAAAAAAATCAAAGGGGGGCTAATACTTTTGACTTAATAATATTTAAATAAATAACTATATAAATATTGACTAGCGCTGGGCAAAGATTAATTGTGATTTATTATATCCAACATAAAAGTTTGCTTTGCCATAATATATGTGTGTTTATTACAGTATATATACACATACAAGGAAACAAAACTATTGTATTACATTGATATTTAAATGCGTGTATAATTTGTATCATATAAAATATATGCGGATAGCAGGGGTTCTCAAACTCGGTCCTGGAGGTCTGCTATCCTGCAGATTTTAGCTCACATCTGGGCTAGCTAATCAGCTATTACTAGCTCTATCCTTACAGGTGTGTTGAGGCAATTTGGAGCTAAAATCTGCAGGACACCGGATCTACAGGATGGAGTTTGAGAACCCCTGATATACATATATTTTCTATCTAAATGTAAACCAACATTTTCTCAAATATTTGCATGCATTTACATTCACAAAATAAATATACACAGTACACACACTTAAATTATGTCAAAACTAAATTTTGGATGCGATAAATCATGATTAATTTTTGCCCAGAACTAATATTTACATTTACTTACTGTAATCTATATTAAATCAAATAGTCCATTCTATAGTTTGAGGAAAAATCAACATTTGTCATATTGTTTGAAATATCATAAAATAAACGTTTAAAAAACCCGTGTAGTACAACAAGGGGGAGAGAGATCACTGTAAAAAAAGACCCCCAGCACTCAGAAACATCCCTCAAACAGAAAGAGAGAGAGAGAGATAGAGAGAGAGTGTGTGTGTGCAGTGTGTGTGTGTGTGAGAGAGAGAGATAGAGAGAAAAAGCCATAAAAGAGCAAACCTGATTGGCTGATGCAGATGCGAAGGGAACACTTGTGGCAGATGTGGTTGCTGCAGACACAGCGGCCGGGGAAGCGCCGTGCATCATGGGAACTTTTTCAGAGGGAAAATGGTATAAGCACACGTACAGGGAGTGTGGCCAACAGATGCACAAACATGATGAGTGAGGGACACAGAGGGGCATGGAAAGAAAAAGTGAGCATCGAAAAGGTGACATCAGCAAAACGGCCAACCAAAAACAAAGAGAGAGAGAGATCGCTCTAAAGAAGACACAGGGGCAGGTAAAGTGTCATATGAGGCAACACATCAAGAGCTACAAGGAGAGGGAAACAAAGGCATGGCATCTCATCAACTTGTTTGGCATTTCGGTTTCAGCTTCCATATGCTGCATTATATTTAACCCTGCTGGTACAGTGGCTTTTGTTACTGTATCTGAGCCACAAACAACTGCAGTGAGGAAAAGTGCGAGGAATTAAAGGGACCGTTCACCCAGTAAAATGACAATTCTGCCATTGTTTATTCAGTCGCATGCTGAATTATTAGCCCTCCTGGATATTTTCTCTATTTTCTGTTTAACTGAAAGAAGTTTTTTCAACACATTTCTAAACAAAATAGTTTTGATGACTTACTGTATTTCTAATAACTGATTTAATTTATCTTTGCCATGATCACAGCACATAATATTTTACTAAACATTTTTTAAAATACTAGTATTCAGCTCAGGATGACATTTAAAGGTGTAACTAGGTTAATTAGGCAAATTAGTCAAGTCACTGTACAATGATGGTTTGCTCTGCAGAGAATTGAAAAAACCTTGTTTAAGGGGGCAAATAATATTGACCTTAAAATAGCTTAAAAAATTGCTTTTATTCTAGCCAAAATAAATCGGCTGCTATCAGCCTGAATGTGCAAACTGAGACCAGATAGCATAAGTCCTCAGAGGGAGAAAACTCCGCGTTTTCTTAACATAATGTTCAAACTACAGTTAAACAAATCATTATAGATCAGGTAAGTGACATTCTAAGTTGAACTTTTTTGTATGTTGTATTGCTGTATTTATACCACAGAAACTTGTAGTGTTTGCTTTGGCTTCTTTGGGGTTAATTATTGTGACATCCTGATTGCTACAGAGAAATACTGGGAAATCTCTGTAGACTGATGCCATTTCATGCCGTTCAGCCTTATTATTTTAAAATGTTAGCAAAATCAGCTGTTTTGTCATCACTTTAGACATTACGCTAGAGAATCATTCAAACACTAGCTCTAAAGTGACAGTAAAGTAGCAACGATTTCTACTGTACTGCAGATGTGAATGAATGGTGGAAGAAAGTAGTTCCAAAAGGATTTTTGAGACTTTCTTTTTGATTTTCTTTTATATATACACAATTATGCTGTCGAACTATTGTATAAACGCAACATCACACTCGTAGCATTGCAATATGGCTGTATATCAGCACTAGTGGAACACTAAGGCACTCCGCCTGCAGCCTTGAGCCAACGCATGTCTCCCACCAGGCTATATAGCACTGCTACTTGTGTGATATTGCTCAAATATATATATATATATATATATATATATATATATATATATATATATATATATATATATATATATATATCATATATCCCACATATTATAGCTTGTACAGTATTCCTCCACAAAGTAAATGACAGAAATGTCATTTTTAGGTGAACAATCTTCTTTATAAAGCCACCAAAACCCACAACACAGTACACAAAATGCAAGAGCTAACAGTAACAGAGAAATCCAATTTACATTTAAAGTCAACATGAAATCAAGTGCTTCTTTCATAATATACCTAACCAGTATAATCTTACCTAATAGCTACATTGATGCACATGAATGTAAAGATGATTTTTCAGCCTCCAACTCTATCATTCGTGTGTCTAAAAGCCACTTTTCAGAATCCCCTGCAAAACCAAGTTCTGCTCTAGTATATATTTGACTTGGATGAATAGCAACTTCCACCAATATTGACACCTTTGGTAAATATGAGCAAAGAAGGCTGTGAAAAATGTCTTTATTGTTCAACAAAGTGAAGTTTCACAAACTAATTTCGAGAGGAGAACATGATATGATTGAGCACTGCTGGCCACTCATCCGTAATCAGTAATAATCCAATCAGAATGATCCTAGCTTAATATAAATAGATCACTTTCTCCTTATTGCTCTATCTTCTTTTTGGAAGAATCCCCCCTTCCACCCCATCTCCTGCTTTTTCTCCCCTTCTAAAGGGGGACCTACCTGATCTCGGATCCCCTGATATGCTTCTAGACCGGGCAGGAGCCCTGGGCTCAAATATCTCAGAGCTCAGGGTTCTCTCCCGGGACAGCAATTCTAGTGAATTTACATAAGAAAAACAGGTGCAAATGGTGCTCGCGAGACAAATTTAGGGTCTGAAAAAGCTTTGAAAGCGGCCTCTGGTGGATTTACGTAAGAAGAACAGGTGCGAATGGCACTCGCGAGAGAAATTTGAGATCTGAAAAAGCGTACACAGCCGCCTCTGGTGGATTTACGCAAGAGAAGCAGCTGTGAATGGCTCTCGCTAGAGAAACATACCTCCTGGGACGTATGTGGCACTCTCCAGAAATGTATATATGGGTACGTAACCAAAATGAGCCTGGGTTGACAAATCCTCTACTCTCATCCAGAACTCAAGCTTGCTCAGGTTATTTTGTGAATATTTAGAGATATTTTTCATAGCCTTCTTTGATCATATTTGCAAATATCAGTGTGTATGGCACCATATGTGTCCCTTTATGGGAGTGAATAAATAATGCACGTACCATTTCATGTTGACTTTAAATGAAATCACAGAAATGTAAATGCTTCATATGTGATGCATTCGGAAAACAGAGTAAAATGCCCACTTCATCAATGTCAGTTTGTCGGCCGTGTGTATTTTGAGGGGGTAAGAACAACTAAAAGGAGGAAGTCTAGAAACCTACCCACGCTCGCTGCAGGGGTCATGCACAATATTGAGCCTGCCCATCATGCATTGCAACAGGAAGTGGATTGGAAAGGGAGAAGAATCACAACAGCCCATCACAAGGTTGGTTAGAGTGAAGAAATCATAATTAAAGGAAGACAATAATCATTACAGTGATACAGCATGACTGTGTCTGTAAGAGACCGATTAGTTGAACTCAGGAAGGGAGCACTAGTGTGTGTGTGTGTCTGTTTGTGAGTGTGTGTGTAACAGATGTTAGTATGACTAAAGGGCATCTCAGGGTTATTGGCGACTGTGCTTTGCAGTGAAAGCCATGACTGCAGGAGTTGTAATGTGATACGATGATGAGGTGATACAGAGAAACTGACAAACAGCTCCAGTTTTTGTGCACATTTTGCCAAGGTTCCCACACCGAGTGATCAAATAGTTTGCACAAACCTTTTCCACAGTTAATCTGATGCTGTGATTACTTGTTATGAATGTAAACACCACTGCATTACAGAGAGTAGATGGAGCGATACTAAAAAATACAAACTTCAAACTAGAAAACTGGCTTTTAAAATGATTATTTAAAGTTTTGTTGTTATATTTCCTACTCTAAATAAAAATTATGGATTATAAAGTTATGTAATTATGTATATAATTAATATTTATTTTGGTCTCACATTATTTTTATGTAAAATTCACACTATTATCAAATAATTAACTAAGAATATTGGCTCAATACACTATTAATTTGCTGCCTAATTACAGTTAGTAATATTGTACTTTACAAGTGCTAATAATCATCTAATATCTTTATAATCAGCTTTTAATAAGTTACTTGTGTGAATTGTTACTTTAAAGTGTCAGCTTTATTTTATATTAATACAATTAGTTATACTATTCTCTTTAAATTGACTATACACAATATAGTATGCGGTATAAATGATCAATTACATTACGGGATGTATTTTATAAGTTATTTAAATTTTAAGACTTTTTATTTGAAAAAACAAATGTTACACACATACTGTTTGCTTTATGCAAATGCTATGAAGCTCAATTTCTCAAAATCTTTCAGAATGCAGATAGAACCTTATAATTCCAAGGTGACGATATGTTACAACATTTATTTATTATGATATAGTACATTTAATCTTGTTAAAAGGTAACATCATTATAACCTGATAAGGTTAATAAATAAGCAAACACTTTTGTTCAAATCGCAATTCACTCTATTAACAAACCATTAACCAACACTACTGGCTTAATAAACTGAATTCATTGGTAGAAGTTGGGTTTAGCTTTTGGGTAGTTTATACTTTATAGCTACTTTATAAAAGTTACTATATTAGTAATATGCAGGTAATAAGCCAGTAGTAAATTTAATAAATTATGACCTGAACTAAAGTGTTACCAATCATAATTATTCGATAATTATTAACATATGAAATTGTAATATATTAAAATGGAAATACTAATCATTGTCATAATTGATGCTATAGTGTTTTACTATATATTATGACAATATAAACATTCCATATTCTACATTTATTTGAGTAGTTAATAGATATGCTGATATCATTTTACAATAGCATAATGCAACAAAAAATATTTCTACAAATGGTCCAACATTTTTATGGCCGTGGGAACCTTTATCAATTATGATAGAGTAAATTTAATCTCATTTAATGTAACATTATTATAACCATATAATAACTATTAGACATGTTTTACATATGAAATTGTATTATATTAAAATTATTATATTAATCATTGTCATAATTAATACTATACTGTTTTACTATATATTATGACTATAAAAATATTTATTATTCTACATTTATTTGAGTAGTTAATAGAAATGCTGACATAATTTCAAAATAGCATAATGCATCATAAAATACTTCCAAAAACATTTTTATTACAATGGGAACAGTTATTTATTATAATACAGTATAATTAATCTCATTTAAATGTAATATTATTTTAACCAAACAATAACTGTTAGATATTTTTTTCATATAAAATTAAATGAAAATTATAATATTAATTCTTGTCATAATTGATAAAATACTGTTTTACTATACTGTATATTATGACTATATAAATATTCCTCATTTTACATTTATGTGAAGAGTTAATAGACAGGCTGATATAATTTCACATTAGCATAAAGCATCATAAAATACTTCCACAAATGTTCCAACATTTTGAAGGCCATGAAAAAATGTATTTATTATGATAGAGTATATTTAATCTTATTCAAATGCAACCTTATTATAACCAAATAACAACTACTAGACATTTTATACATATTGAATTGTATTATATTAAAATTATAACACTATTTATTGTGATTATTAATATTATTATTAATTATAAGATTTTTTTATACATGGAATTTTATTATATTAAAATTACAATATTATTTTTGTCATAACTGATACTATACCGTTTTACTATATATTATATATAAAAAATGTAAGGCCGTGGGAAGATTTTTTAATTATTTACTATACTGTTTTATTATATATTATGACTTTATAAATATTCCTCATTCTATATTTATTTGAATAGTTAGTAGAAATGCTGACTTTTTTTCATTCTACAATAGCATAATGCAACATAAAATACTTCCACAAATGTTCCAACATTTTGAAGGCCATGGAAACATTTATTTATTATGATAGAGTATATTTAATCTCCTTCAAATAACCTTATTATAACCAAATAACAACTACTAGACATTTTATACATATTGAATTGTATTATATTAAAATTAGAAAACTATTTATTGTGATAATATTACAATTAGAATTAATTATAATTCTATAATTCTATATTAATGTTCCAACATTTTGATGGCCGCAAAAACTTTTATTTTTTTATGATGCAGTATATTTAATCTCATAAAAATGTAACATTATAATAACCAAATAATAACTATTAGACATGTGATTGTATTATAATAAAATTGTAATACTAATTATTGTGATAATTAGTATTATAATCATAATACATGAAAATTGTAATATACATATTTTTTTAAATTTGAAATTCTATTATATTAAAATTAGAACAGTAATTGTTGTCATAACTGATACTACACTGATTTATTATATATTGAGTAATTTTATGGCCATGGGAACATTTATTTATTATGATACAGTATATTTAATCTAATTTGAATGTAATAATATTCTAACCAAACAATAACTATTAGACATTTTTTTACATATGAAATTGAATTAAATTAAAATTAGATTACTAATTCTTGCCATAATTGATACTGTACTGCTTTACTATATATTATAAGTATTTTATTTATTGCAATGGGAATTTTTTTTATCATGATCCAGTATGTTTAATCTCATTTAAATGTAATACTATTCTAACCAAATATTAACTGTTAGATTTTTTTTACATTTGAAATTGTATTAAATTAAAATTGAAATATTGATCATTGATACAATACTGATTTACTATATATTATATACAAATATTCCGTATTCTACATTTATGTGAACAGTTAATAGAAATGCTGATATCATTTTACAATAGCATAATGCAACACAAAATATTTCCATAACATTTTGATGGCTGTGGGAACCCTGACGGCGTAAAATAAGAAAGAAAATGTGTGTGTTTGTGATTTGTCCCTCGTGGTTTGGTTTGGTGAGCTGAAGCGGTGTTCAGAAGCCCTACCTGAAGGAATAAAGGCTGCCTGCTGCTGAAACTGCATGTTGGCCAAAGCCTGCTGGTACTGGAGCATGCCAGCGCTGAACATGCTCGTGGCACCGTTGGCTTTCTCAAGCGCGGGTCGCTTTGGTAAAGGTGGCATGACACTGTGAGGAATTCCCTGCTCCCAAAAGACCACAGGGAAGAGGAGAAAACAGGGAAACGGCACGTGTGGAAGAGAGTAAAAAAAAACAACAGGACAGGAACAAGAAAAAGACAGAATTATCGTCAGAGGGCAAAAAACATCACAGGGCTGGATTCTGACAAACAAGCAAGCAAGCGGCAGCTAAAACATGTCTACGGCACAAGCAAAAAGCCAAAGAGCCAAGTTCCTCTCGCTACGGCTACAAAATCAGCATCTGTGATTACGTCACATCATTAGTTTTACATCAGTAGAGTATTAAAAAAAGTCATTAACATTACAACATCCATACTGCTAACTCAATGCAAATGAAGCAAGCGAAGCACTACTCAAATGTTTCTGGCAGACGAAACAAAGTGACCAAAAGTAACACGTTAAAAAGAAAAAACAAAAAAAGAACAAAAGGAAAATAAACTGCACTGCTCACTCCATGATAAGTGTGAGAAAGAGACTAGAGCCCGTATTCACAAACACATCTCAAGTAGCTCCTACATAAGATCATGTAATATAAATGTCGTAAAAAATGACATCTATGTCATTAAGACCAAATCACTAACTATCCAAAAATGGACAAAATCTACCAAACAATAGTAATAATGATCTTTTAAAAAGGTGTTGCATTATTTGTGGGTGTATTGAGGTTATTGCAGAACTGGCAAACAACCTTCCTTTTACTTTTGCATATCTTATTATCAACCATGATTATTCTACTCTCTTGATTAATATTAATAACTGTTTATATGCACATAATCTCTTTGTTTACCCCGGACCACAAAACCAATTGTATGATTATATTTGTAGGACAATACAGTGTTTACAAATTAATATTAACATATAAACAATTAATATTAATAATTGTTCATGTGCATAGCCTTAATTTGTTTATCGTAGAACAAAAAAAAAAAACAATTGCACATTATATATTACCTTAGAAAAGTCTTGTCGTCTGTCAAGTCAAGTTTTAGAAACAACAAATAATAACTTGTCTTCTAGTTGATCATTTAGTATCAGAAGTGGCTTATATGAAAGGCAAAGGGCTCTAGATTATGCTTATTTTACCAAAACAAAATAATGCCTTGATTTTTAATTATTTCATTAGGACAGTAAGGTCTGCATTTGCTTAGACAAAAGTCTTGTTACTTAACAGAAATAATGTACAGTACAGTATAGAATATAAAGTCATGGTGCAGTGGAACAAGAAAGAATATAGTGCATGACTCCATCATGAGCTTGGAAGACTGCATCAATACATCTCTGCAATGACTTAAATCCCTTATTAATAAAGTAATCTGGAATGGCAAAGAGAGCCTTCTTGCAGGACTCCCAGATTTCATTAAGATTCTTTAGATTCATCTTCAATGCCTCCTTCATCTTACCCCAGACATGCTTAATAATGTTCATATCTGGTGATTGGGCTGGCCAATCTTGGAGCACCTTGACCTTCTTTGCTTTCAGGAACTTTGATGTGGAGGCTGAGGAAATTGAATTTCTGAAAATCTTCTGCCACTTTTCCAAATGATCAACTAGAAATCAAGTTATTATTTGTTGCTCTTACAACTGGAATCAACAACAAGACTTTTGTCATGTAGTGTATTTGTAGGAATAACTAACAATACAGTGTTTACTTTTATGTCAAACATAAATTGAATATTAAGACATTTTATAAATTTCCAACACAAAAAATACATAATAAAAAAGTTGTGACAATGTATGCTTTTATACTACGTTAACTCTTTTTAGTAAGTCAATCAGGTTTCAACTTATTTTTTTATTGATGCAAGTTAAAATGACTTTTAGAGTTTAATTGGTTCAACTTAAAAATGTTAGTGAACTATAGTTTTTTGTAATGTACCATATATATATATATATATATATATATATATATATATATATATATATATATATATATATATATATATATATATATATATAAACTTAATTTAGCTAAGAACTTAATGGTTTAATGGTTATTCTCTCAATATTCCTATTTTTCTAAACACCTACATGTTTTAATTATTTGTAGAAATACTTCCCTTTCCAAACAAACCATAAATCAATGGAAAGCTTATTTAAATTTAAAAAATGACCCTTTTAATGGTTTTGTGTTGCAGGATAGACCCTTTTCACTTAGACGTCACTTCACTTCCCCCTATCTGCAATGCAGTGTATTTTTAGTTCCGGTTTACCTTTGAATGAATGTGACACTTTACAACTGAAAATATTAACATTGCACATTGTGATTTAAGTCTATTAAAGTATTGGGCATGTGTTCAAATGTTTCTCTTTTAACACTGAACTGCTTTCTGAGTTTTAAAATGATCATTAGGAATAGGGATGAGTTATTGTTCATCAAGAAAAGTATACGTTTGCAACCTTTCCACATATTAGTTCAGTTTATTTCCTCAATAATGGATTTATTTTTACTTTGATGCTGCTATAAATACACATGTTTAGAACTTGTTATATGTGAATGTTCCAGAATGAGTAAAAATCCTTCATTTTATTTCAATCTTACATTATCTGGTAAATATTTATTCTATAAATGATATCAGTTTCATCATTTATTATTTACTGATCCATAAATGGGTTTTTCAATTTCGTCGTTTAAATGAATGAAGACCTTAAGACAGTGTCCTGCCACCACCTACTAGGTGATTTAAATTTAATAACTGTGCTACCTTAGTTATAAGTTACAAATAATAATACTGGGAGCGACACGGTGGCACAGCAAGAAGGTCACTGGTTCGAGTCCTGGCTGGGTCAGCTGGCATTTCTATGTGGAGTTTGCATGTTCTCCCCGTGTTTGCATGGGCCCAAAGACATTCGCTATAGGTGAATTAGGTAAACTAAATTGGCCATAGTGTATGTGTGTAAATGAGTATGTAAAGTATGGGTGTTTCCTAGTACTGGGTTGCAGCTGGAAGGACATCCGCTCTGTTAAACATATCCTGGAAGAGTTGGCAATTCATTCCGCTGTGGTGACCCCTGATTAACAAAGGAACTAAGCTGAAGGAAAATAAATGAATAATACTAATTTAAATTGCAGCCTTCTTATAGTTAGAAAACCACCGTAGTCACCATCTAACCGTATCTGTAGGGAATATAATACTGACTGGGTGAATTCTCAATGGGGAGTAGATAAGGAGTCCCCAAACTTTTTGTATGAAGGGCCAAAACTGGAGGTAAATATATATTCATTTTCTTTTCGGCTTAGTCCCTTTTATTAATCTGGGGTCGCCACAGCGGAATGAACCGCCAACTTATCAAGCATATGTTTTTACTAAGCGAATGCACCTCCAGCTGCAACCCATCTCTGGGAAACATCCATACACACTCGTTCACACTCATACACTACGGACAATTTAGCTTACCCAATTAACCTGTACTGCATGTCTTTGGACTGTGGGGAAAACCGGAGCACCCGGAGGATACCCACGAGAACGCAGGGAGAACATGCAAACTCCACACAGAAACGCCAACTAACCAAGCAGAGGCTTGAACCAGCGACCTTCTTGCTGTGAGGCGACAGCACTACCTACTGCGCCACTGCGTCGCCTGAGGTAAACATACCAAACTATATTAAATTAAAGTTGCCATGGGTAATTTCCTAATTTTTTTAATGATATTTCTAATGATAATCTCATTAAATCGGATGAACTAATGCAGTATAATTTGTTTAAATGATAACTTATTGCAATAAAAACATAATAACACAGTGGAGTTCAATGCTGAATACACTAGTCAAGCAGAGTCTGCCATGACTTGCTTTGCTCACCAAAGTCTCTGCATTGTCGGGTGACACAGTATGTCCATTTAAAGAAAATCTCATTAATTTACAGCTGTTAATTGAAACAATTTAATTTCAGTTAGCGTTTAACAGACAAACAAACCATGCTCTTCATTCTCCCTCTCTTCTCAGATTGGATGGTGGGCGAAATTGAAGATTACCATGGGCTAACTTTGGCCAGCAGGCCCTAATTTGCGCATCTATGGTGTAGACAGAAGTGAACATACACTGCCTGGAGTGAATTTGGACATCGTCATGTGAAAAGGGTGTTCAATTATTGACGTATATTTTAATTGTGGAAACATTTGCATTTTTAAAACTTTTATTTAAATAAGGCTATACAAAACATCAAGCTCTATGAATAAATCTCCGACAGAAAACCCGCCCCTATCGGCCAATCACTTAGTGCATAGTTAATAAGCATGCTGACATCATCAAAAGCAATGAAATTAACCCCGCCCTCACTCTAAGCTTAGCAAGACTAAGTAAAAAACAGTTAATATGTGAACTAAACTAAAAGCATTGCCTGCTATTTAGCATTTAGCAGAGCTCTCATAGTGGTAAGATCAAATGTTTTGTGAATACAGGCCCTGATCTTTCCTGTTGCTTTAATGGTGGAGCTTTAGTATTCTTCTGCCGCTACCCCTCCCATAGACACATGCACTAAATACAGAGCTACTAAACATGCATACTGAACATCAATGCTGTATAGACACATAGAAGCCATGTCACTAGAGTTTAGATCATCTGGCCCTTTCCTCACGCTCTGAAATAACACACGTGTGATGATCTGATTGCGGCGGCGTCTGCTAACAATTCTTGCTCGCCACAGTCAGTTGATCACACGAGATGGTAACAGAACACAACAGAGGCATTAAACAAACACAAAAGGACTATGCTTGCAGATTATATCTCAGTTTTTTTGTTTGTTAAAGACACTACAATAAAGCAACATGCCAAGCAAAAAGGTGAAAGGTCATAGTACCAGGTCAAAGGTGGCTTCGAGGGGTCGCTTCAGTGATTTGACAGCCGACTGAGTCTTAATTAGCAGGCAGCGAGCACATGATGGCAATGGGCCAATGGGGTTCAAGCGCATTAACATAAACAGCAAGCAGAGGTGCATCATGGGGGCAGCAGTGCATTTTGGGTAGGTGAGAAAAAAAAACAAATAAAAACAAATCATTGGAATGCAGTATACAGGGGGATATCAGGACTAAGGCATGCAGAAATACAGTCCATTCTGTTTTTGTTTGTTTAAATATGAAAAAAAGCTACTGAGATTTAAGATTAACAATGTACATCAATCATGGTAACATTAACAGGGGGTTCATTGACATTGTGGATAACATTGGGCTGAATTGCAAACATACATTTAATGTGGAGAAATGTTACATAGAAATAGTTATGACACTGCCCTCTGCTCGACAGGATGATCAAATCACGTATTTGTGCAGTTTAAATGGGAAATGGCAATGATATGAGCTTTATAAAAGCTTACACAGAGCTCTATCAACAATATAACGCATAGGACACATTTGTAAAATGCTTAGGTTATTATTTAAGACTCTTAAATGCATTCCTTAAAGATGGCACAGAGAGATATCAATGCTAACCTGAGATTAAATATACAGTATACCATCTAAAAACTGTTAGTTTTGCATACATCAAGACATTTAAAGACTCCTGAAGCTTATTTCTAATAGTTCACCCAAAAATGAAAATTTGCTCCAAGATGTGGACCGGTTGGTTTGTTTATCAAAGCAGATTTGGTGGTTGTTGCTAGATTGGATACTTTTGCGGACGGAAGTTATTGAGATTTATTTATATTATTTATTAAACTTCCCATTTATTGCATTTTATAAACGTCTACCCCGACCCCAACCCTAAACCCAACCGTCACAGTAACGTAAAAACAGTAGTTGTACCAAGTATTATTCAATTCAATTCAATTCAGCTTTATTTGTATAGCGCTTTTACAATGTAGATTGTGTCAAAGCAGCTTCACATAAATGGTCATAGTAACTGGAACAGTGTGGTTCAGTAACTGGAACAGTGTGGTTCAGGTTTTAGTGTTTAAGTTCAGTTCAGTTCAGTTTAGCTCAGTTCAGTGTGATTTAATCATTACTGAGAGTTCAAACACTGAAGAGCCAATTCATCGATGCGTAGCTCTACCAATCCTGAACCATGCGAGGCAGTGGCGACAGCGGAGAGGGAAAAAAAACTTCACCTGATGGGAGTGAAGAAAGAAAACCTTGAGAGAACCAGACTCAGTTGGGCACGACCATTTTAATTTCTCCGCTGGCCAAAAGTCTTGTGATGTTATTGATGTTATTTATTAAATTACCCCCAAAATTGTATTTTTTAATGCCTACCCCCACTTCAACCCTAAACCCAACCGTCACAGTACTGTAAAAATATGAATTATTGTTATACAGTGTCATAAAAAAGCTGCTATATCAATGTGCATACCGCCGGCCGCGTATCTGATCTAGACTTTACCAGATTTGGTGAAATGTAGTGTTAAATCACTTCCTCAGCAATCTTCCATGAAGATATTTTGCAAAGTAAATTAGTAACAGGCACTGATAAGAACATAATCTGGACAATTTTAAAAGCAATTTTTTTCTCAATACTTGTATTTTTTTACAGATACAGATATTCACTAAGTAGTATCTTGGCCAACTGTTGTCCTATCTTTACAATGACATATATCAATGGAAAGCTTATTTATTCAGATGATGTGGATTATGAATATGATTAATAAATCAGATTATACAATCTCAATTTTAGAAAAATGTCCCAAGAAGTATAAAATAGCTTTAAGTGAGCAGCATTTTCAATCAGCTAACATGTGAGATTGTGCTCAGGAATACATAATTATGAATCAAGAAGTTCAAGCTTCATACTGTATTCATTTTGTATTGCCTGAATTAATTTTTTAGACTCTCTAAGTGCCAAGCATCCATTAGCTTACATTTTAGGAATCACCAAAGTCCTCAATTTCAGCTAAAAATATTAATATTAAGGATTTGTTCCCTTAAAAATGATCTTTTAATTATGTTCTCCTATGTAAGGTTGTCAAGTTACTGGAATTTGATACCAATCGATACTAAAGTTTTAAAAAAGTAAATTTCCCACTAATTTCAGTGCTACTGAGCACATTCTTAAACAGCGCTGATTTGGGCTCTGGTGAATTGCAGCTTTGAAACATTTTAGTGTCCCTCTATCTGTCGTTACACTCAGTAAACAGTGGTGAATTTGGTGAACTGATGAGCTTCACAGTCAATCAAAGCTATTTCTGTTGAGCAAGTGAAGATAACGTGAAATCAGTGCTGATTAAGAACGCGCTCCATAGTGCTCAAATGTTCGCGGGAAAGGGACATTTTTAAAATTTCAGTATCCAAAAGTGCCGAATTCCAGTATTGTGACAACCCTACTCTTATCTCGTTCTGTACCCTAAAACCTTTGTTCATCTTTGAAACAAATTAAGATATTTTAGATGAAAGCTGAAAGACAGCAATGGTTTTAAGATGTTCAAAGTCCATAAAAAAGAAACCAAAAATATTGTTAGAATATTCAATGTGACTTCAGTGTTTTGACTATAATCATATGAAGCTCCAAGGACAATTTTGTACACCCAAAAACTATAAAAACCTCTCTTTTCACCAATGTTTTCCACATAAAATTAGAGTGTATGTTTAATATGGGCAATATGACACTTCCATGTCTCTAATGGCCCGTTTCCACTGAGTGGTACGATACAGTATGGTACAAAACGGTACGCTGTTATGGCCGTTTACACTGTCAAAAGGTACCAAAAAGCGAACTGTACCGTACCACTTTTTGGGTACCCTTTGCAAAGGGTACCTAGTACAACAAAAGCAGTCATACCAAGTCTCCCGGAAGTTCTGTGTGTCTCCTGCATATGCATAGAGACTCCCGGATGCCCGCAAACGAAAAGATAATGTCCAGGAAATCGTGCGACCCCCTACCCAACCCCCCCCCCCCTCTCTTGGTCGACTCGAGCTCAAACAAACCTTGATGTTGTCTTGATAAACAGCCACAAAGCACAAAGTGTGTCTGTATATAAAATAACAAACTTCTTAAGCTGATTAACTTTTGTTCCTCCTCTTCTTTATTACAACCATTTATTTATTCTGGTTTTCTTTATTTTGTATATACTTTGTTTATCATTTATCCACTTTGTAAAATAAACACGTATTTTGGCATAATTTGGTTGTTTGCCACCATCATTCATAAAAGGGTCATAAATTTTAAATGTTGCGTTAACCCTAGCGTTTCCATCTTGAACAACCGTAATACTAGAGAAATTATATAGGCAAACAAGTCGTATTTGCAGGTTTTTTGCACACAGAATTGTTTTTGGCACTTCCTGAAATGACAGTTGATCCACTGAATGACATGGAATGTTTTGACAATGTTTTTTGGTACTTTTTTGGACTTCTCCAGAACATTTCTGACAACAGACGACGAGAGAGCTCTAAGATTTCCTCTAAAATATCTGAATTTGTGTTATGAAGATAATTGAAAGTCTCGGTGGATTTCATGACTAGAGCAGTGTTTCTCAACCCTGTTCCTAAAGGCACACCAACAGTACACATTTTTATCCTCTTCTTAATCAAACACACTTAAAGAGGCTCCAGAACCTGAAACGAATGGGTCAGATATGGGAGACATCCAAAATACAGTATGTACTGTTAGTGTTCCTGCAGGAACAGGGTTGGGAAACACTAGACTAGAGTGCAGTAATTATTCATTCACTCATTTATTCATTTTCTTATCGGCTTAGCCACTTTATTAATCAGGGGTTGCCACAGTGGAATGAACTGCTAACTAACCAAATTTTCTTTTTTTGGGTGAACTAACCCTTTAATTCTCTACTGGAAAAAAAACATTACCTACATTTTCCATCAGCAAATTTTCATATTTGTATGAACTGTACACCTGGGAATACATCAAAGCTAACCTTAAATCTTAGAAAGGGTTACTCCTCCATACAGACTGATGCAGGATAATGTGTACTGTGTGTGATGTGAGATTGTACTCACCATGGCAGCGGCGGCCGAGGCCTGATTGACCTGGTGTTGGGTGGCTTTTATTTTGGCCTGCAGGTGAGCAGGAGGGTGGAAGTATTTGCACTTGTCTCTGGAGCAGCGGCCCTTTATGTAATCCATACACACCGTCACTGTGTTGTCGCTGGGGTCGATCATTGTGCTGTCGGCAGGGTGGGCAAACCTGCAGTCCGTCTCCCCACGAGAGCAGTTGCCACGCTGGTATTCACGACACACCTGAGGATATGCAGAAAGGTGATGCATCACGTTCATTGCTTGCAGAGTTTTGGGCTAAAATGTGGAAACCTGTAACCATTGATTTTCATGGTATTTATTTTTACCATTATGGAAGTCAGTAGCTAGGTTTCCAGCCACCTATTTTATAAAAAATATAAAAAGGTTGATGGAAACACCAAGATGCGCATACATTTTGAAAATGTGCATAAAAAACATATGCGCATAACTGAGTAGGACTTTTATTTGATAAGAAAAGATGCACATATACAACATTGGAAACACTTTTAAAGAACAAATTCTAGTATGTGCATTACAAAGGTCATGTGATTTTGTTATAAGAGATCATGCGATGATAAAAATGTGTGTAAATTGACAAACCAGCAGGCTGGACACATTGTAAAACAGCAGAAACGTTGTTTTGGTAAATCTAAAACGCCTTAACTATCTCAGTAGTAGTGTGATTATATTATTAATGACCTCCAGAACAGTCAAGAGCATCTGTGCTCTGCGTCAGATGCCTTCAAATGCCACCACGCAGTTCATTGCGTATCGGCATTTTCTGAGTAAGTAACGTAGTATTAAATGAATCACCTACCGCAGCAAATTCAGCTTTTACTTTTGATATTTGGTGCCAGATAATCAGAAAGTGAGGATTTTGTTCTCGTCGGATGGAAATGCTGCTTTATTCACACGTCTTTTATGCGATATTCCAGTTTTGCATATAAATTTAATTTGCATTTGCTTGTTTGGAACAAGTGACGGGTAAATAAATGATGATGGAATTGTATTTTTTGAGTGAACTATCCCTTTAAATTTAATTTGACTACAAAAAAACTGACATTTTCCACAAATATTGCTAAATCATATGCCCTATTGCTTAATTGTGCAATGCAATAAATTAAGTTCTCCATCCTATCATCCAAAGCCTACAAGCAATTAATGCAACAAATATATAAAATATATAATTTTCTTATTATTAAAATAATATAAGAAATTACCTTATAATTAAAAATCAGATAATAAAAACACATCACCCCTATTTAATACAACCAGCCTTGATTTTTGTAAAATTAAAAATACTCCATCACTATTTATAATGACGACATTAATATAATAAATAATATTAATAATATAAAAACATTAACTCATATTTTATTCAAACTTGTCATTTTATGATATAAATATTAATATTAGATTTAAAACACCTTTTACTGAATATAAATATAACATAATACAATATTACTTACTTTATGTATATAATTAATAACACTAAATACACATTACTTAATTTTTTTCAGAAATATTAAATTATTATTATATAAACAACAATTTCCAGGGGAACCAGGGGTTACCAAACTTGTTTCTGGTGGGCCGATGTCCTGCAGATTTTAGCTCCAAGTTCAACTCTAATCAAACACACCAGAACAAGCTAATCAAACTCTTACTAGGTATACTTAAAACAACCAGGCAGGTGTGCTAAGGCAAGTTGGAGCTAAACCCTGCAGGGACATTGGCCATCCGGGGCCGAGATTGGTGACTCCTGGTCTATACTGTATATATAAACATATATACTTTAAATTAGTATATAACAAATTAGTATGCAGTTAGGAAAGTAGAGTGGAAACTGAACTGACATTTTCCTCTTTATTTATAATTATTACATTAATATAATGTTATATTAATAATATAAAACTAAAACAACCCATATTTTATACTTGTCTTTTTTATAAACTTTTCATTTTATGAAATAAATATTAATATTACAATTAAAACACCTTTTTTTTAAAAATATAATATACTAATACAACATAACATTATAACTTATATAATAAATAATTAATTAGTAATTCATTATTTTATAAACAATTTTCTGTTTACCATAGGTCCCTCTCACTATACTGTATATATATATATATATATATATATATAAATTAGTATATAACATATTAGCAAGCAGTTAGGAAAGTAGAGTGAAAACTGAATATTTAAACCTCAATATTTATGATCATTACATTGCTTTAATGCATTATATTCATAATATAAACAATTAACCCATATAATATACAAATTTGACATCATTATGAAATACATGTTAATAGTAGATCAACACCAACACCTGTTTCTAAATATAAATATATATTATAATACACCAATACAACATAACTTATTTTTATTTATGCAATTAATAATATCAACACTACACATTAAATACACATTAATTAAAATTTTCAGAAATATTAATCCATTATAATATAAACAACTTATTATTTTTATCATAGGTCTCTCTCACTATACTGTCTATATATAAACATATATAAAGTTGTATATAATGCATCGAAAACTGACATTTTTGAAGTCAGAATTATTAGCCCCCCTGAATTATTATCACCCCTGTTTATTTTTTTCCCCAATTTCTGTTTAATGGAGGGAAGATAGTTTTAATAACTCATTTCTAATAACTGATTTATTTTATCTTTTCCATGATGACAGTACATAATATTTTACTTGATATTTTTCAGGACACTTTTATACAGCTTAAAGTGATATTTAAAGGCTTAATTAGGTTAATAGGGTGAACTAGGCAGGTTATGGTAATTAGGCAAGTTATTGTATAATGATGGTTTGTTCTGTAGACTATTGAAAAAAATTGCTTAAAGGAGAAAATATTTTGTCCCAAAAATGTTTTTTTTTTTAAATTAAAAACTGATTTTATTCTAGCCGAACTAAAAAAAATAAGACTTTCTCCAGAAGAAAAAATATTATCAGACACACTGTGGAAATTTCTTTGCTCTGTTAAAAACCATTTGGGAAATATTTAAAAAAGAAGAAAAAAAAAACGAAAGGGAGCTAATAATTCTGACTTTAACTGTATATAAAAAAACTATTTCAACACTTACCATAGGGCTCTCTCACTAAATATTTTAGTTTTTTTTTCAGAATAGCTACTGAATGCTACTAAAACAAGTCAGTTTGCAATTTGTAAAGTAGAGTGAAAACAGAACTAACGTTTTCCTCAAAATGCATACAAAATGCAGTATATAGGCCTACAGATGAGTTTTCTTTTCCTCGAGTGATCAGCAGGGGGCAGCAGCACCTTTATATCTAAGGGTTTGTTGTGACCCAGCTCAGCTGCATGCACACATAGTCTGAATGTGAATCAAGGCTAATCTCCTACCTCCAGTCGGTCTGTTCTGAGCAGTTTCTGTGCGGCGGCGGCTGAAGCGGCAGCAGCAGCGGCGTTGGCAGCGGACGGCACAGACGCCACCCCAGGGCTGCCCGCCATCAGCACCGGTGCACTGGGCAGGATCTCTGCGGACATCAGGCCAGGAGACACCGGACCCAGGTACGGATTAAACGCAGCCGCAGCCGCCGCTGCCGCAGCTGCACTGGCGTTGCTTGCAAGGCTTGGCGAGACCGAAAACATAGGCTGAAACAGACAAGAATAACAACAAATGAGACAGTGGCACTGCTATAAATGGACTTTCTGTTTCTCTTATGGAAATGATACAGTCAAAAATTATTTCAGACTATTATCCAGTGACAAAAGTGCTGTGTCAGCACATGGCTTGGTGTCATTATTTTATGTATTATTAAATATAATTTTTTGTTCATATTCATAAACTATGATATTATCATACTAATTTCTATTATATATATATATATATATATATATATATATATATATATATATATATATATATACACACACACATATACATACATACATATACATATATACATATATATAAATATTAAATATTTTGTCAACAAGCAAGCTCTGGTTGTATACATACACTTTGTCAACATAACCTTTCTCGAAAAATGTTTTAAAAAATTTAAAAATCTATAATAAACTAATTGTATGCTCACCAGCCTTTCCAGGTCGGTATCCTCAGCAGTAAATACATGGAGAACTTTTAAACAAATGTTATTGTGAGGAAAATAATTAAACTATTACGGTTTTATTGAGATGGATTGATGGTGATTGTATCAGTGTTGGCTAGACAAAAATTAAGACCTGTTTAAAAAAAGATTTAGGACCTACAACACAATGTTTCAGTAAACTTAAGAAGTTAAGAAGTTTTCTTGTTTTTGAGATTTAAGACATTTTAAGAATTTGTAAGACCCCGTGGACACCCTGATATAAAACAATAGATATATAACAATGGAATGAAATGTGTTATGTTAATTAATTATAGCAATAAAAAAACAATACCAATGTTATATCAACCCACCATGTAATTTTATAAACATAATTACATAATACAATATCATATATTGAATAAATTTGTATTATATTAATATAAATATTAAATAGCATCTAACACATTTTTATACCAGTCTACCTTAATACTATTATTCATAATAATTATATTATTCAAGCCTTTTTATTTTTATTATACATAAAATCCTCGACATTTTGAGGGCATATACACTGTAAAACATGCAGTGTTGCACATGGTTCATTCATGTTGTCCCAACACAAATCCATTAAGGTATCTTAACTAATTAAAGTAGATTGAACAAATAACAATTTAGTTTCCTCAAAAAATCTCCAGAACTGTTTCGTTTTATCTCAAGTAGTTTGAACAAACACCAAAAACTATTGTTTGAGTGTACAGTACATAAACATACACTGATAAAAGTGTGAAAAGTTTGTGTTCAATGTACTCTCTGTATCCCTTTTCTTTGTTTTACCTGTTTGCTCTGTCACCATATTCACCATCATTAATCTCCCATTAACCACACCCACTTGTCTGTTAGTTGGCATCGTTATTCATTAGCTCCACCCCTTTCGTAACACGTGTATTGACCTTGTTCTTTATGTTTGAGAGTTGGAATCTTTTTGGCTCGAGAATCCCAGTCTTCACTTCCATTCATTTTTAGAGGTTAAAAACAGCTTGTTCTGCTGCTTGATGCTGCAAACTGACGCTTTCTTATTATATTATTCTACTCTGTCTATATAGTCATAAACACGCAAGTAGTCTGCCGTTTATTATTCCTAGTCATTTCTCCAATAGGCGACTGAATCTAAAGTTCTAAACCAATCGCAAAAACGTGCGCAGTTCCGCATTGTAAAATAAGTGATTTCGTTTTTAACTTCTTTCTAAATATTTCCTCTTGATGTTTATTTCAACGTAATAGTTTGTTCTGTAGCATATTGAAAAATATTGCTTAAGGGGGCTAACAATATTGACCCTAAAATGTTTTAAATTGTTAAAAAAACAGCTTTTTTCCACTCAAAATAAAACAAACAAGACTTTAATTAATATGAATAATATCAGAAATACTTGCTCCATTAAATACATGAGAAATATTTGAAAAAGAATAAATATTTCACAGGAGGGCTAACAATTCTGCCCTCAACTGTATAGATTTCTCAAGGGGCTAACAATATTGACCTTAAAAACATTTGAAAATATTAAAATTCTACTTATTATAATTATACTAAAATAATTGAAAGAAACAAGACTTGCTTTTGAAGATAAAAATATAATAGTAAATACTGTGCAGGGTTCAACGCTAAGGATTTTTTCTACTGGCCCGATTGGACCAGTGGTTCAGATTTTTACTTGCCCTGCCAAAATTTTCACTGGCCCCATGAAAGAAATAAAGTTAGCCACATATATTAAATTATGTGTCACGAAATAATGTCAGGTGGTTCATTCCACTGTGGCGACCCCAGATTAATAAAGGGACAAAACCGAAAAGAAAATGAATGAATGAAAATAATGCCAGTAATTGAAGAATTTAAATATTGGAAAAATGTTAAAATATTTAGCAGTAAAATATAGCAGTATGGGAAACGTGCAGGTATTTTATTGCAAAACAAAAGGTGGCTGACTTAAAAGTGACAGCAAACTAGGCAAAACATGACCTTCATTTTTTTCGTCATGCTGTACCCATTTAAATGTTTCCACAAAGTTAGAAACAGACATTTCCTTTAGCCTTTGTTGCGGTCATGTTGCAGTCTATTAAAATTTAGTGACAAGGCAGCACTGCCCCGATCGGGCCAGTAACGATTCTGTCTACTGTCCCGAGCATCTCTCACACTGGCCCCGGGCCATCGGACAGTCCTTATTGTTGAGCCCTGCTGTGCAAATCTGTCAAACAGCACTTAGGAAATATTTTCACGTGAACGCTGATAATTTAGCATTTATCTGTATTTACCGCTGTGTTTCATTAATTGTGTGATGTTTGCTATCATACTAATCTGCACTGATGTTTCCAAAAGGGTGGGTCGAGTGTGTTTCTCACCATGGGCTGAAGCTGACTGCCGGGCATGATGGCGTTGGCGATCTGCATCTGCTGTGCGAGCATGGCCATGTTCTTCTGCTGGATCAGGTTGTTTCGGCCGTTGATCTCCAGCTGCGTCTTCAGGTGTGGAGGAGGATGAAGGTACTTGCAGTTCTCTCTGGAGCAGCGGCCCTGATGGACAACAACACCACAAAACAACTCGTAAGAATACTTAGGATTAACTCAAAAGACAAATGACTGTTTCTAAGAGCTACGTTCCCTCATTCAATCAATTTCCCTCGGCTTAGTCCTTTAATTCATCAGGGGTCGCCACAGCAGAATGAACCGACAACTTATCCAGCATATGTTTTTTACAGCGGATGCTCTTCCAGCTGCAACATAATACTGGGAAACACCCATACACTCTCATATTCACACACACTCATACACTACAGCCAATTTAGTTTTATCAATTCACCTATACCACATGTCTTTAAACTGTGGGGGAAATTGGAGCACCTGCAGGAAACCCATGTCAACATGGAGAAAACATGCAAACTCCACACAGAAATGCCAAGTGACCCAGTCGGGACTCACACCAGCAACCTTCTTGCTGTGAGGTAACAGTGCCAACCACTAAGCCATCGTGCTGCCTAACAAACACGTTATAATATTAATTTTTTTTGTTAAAAAAATTAATTAAATATTATAATTTTTCATGTATTTTATCATTTATTATGATGTGTTTACATACATTATATTAGTAATATTTTTTAGATAATAAAAAATAACAGAAACATTATCAATTATTCATTTAAGATTGTATCCTTTCTTTTGTATTTTTTCATTTATTGGGCTGTTTTTATTAAGTTTTTGTTTTTATTTTTTTCTCTTTCCCTTTCATTTTTATTACTCTTTCTGGGTGCTACATTTGTTCATTACTCCATTTGCTATTTGTAATGAACGTAAAAACCCATTAACGAAGCATGCAAAAAATTATGGAAGTATGAAAAAATTTATTTAGAAGTTATTAGCAAAACAAAGTATAACAAAACAATAATTTTATAATCATAATTAACTTTTCAGGTAGTATTAAAAAAAATTAATTAAACCAAAAGTTTATTGAGCAAATATAATAAAACCATCAACATCTTAATAGTAAGGAGCTTGTAGAGTGATCAAAATGACAAATGTGACAAAAATAAACGTAATTAGCAAAATAACTTACATTAAAATAAAATATTACACAGAAACTTAAATAAAACAAACAAAAAATAATTTAAAAAAAAGCATAAATATTCATTCATTACTTTTCCTTTGAAAAGGAAATGAACCGCCAACTTATCCAGCTGTTATACACAGCGGATGCTCTTCCAACTACAACCCAGTACTGGAAAACACCCATACACACTCATTTACACTCATACCCTACAACCAGTTTAGTTTATTCAATTCACCTATAGCACAGTCCACCTATTCTTTGGATTGTGGGGAAAACCGGACCACCCAGAGGAAACCCACACCAACACGAGGAGACAATGCAAACCACACAGAAATGCCAACTGACCCAGCAGGGACTCGATCCAGTGACTTTCTTGCTGTAAGGCGACAGTGCTAACGACTGAGCCACCGTGTCGCCCATAATAAAAGCAAAAAATATTCTAATAATAATAAATTTGTACTGTTACAGAAAATGTTAAGGAGTTATTTTAAGGAGGTAGAAAAAAGACAAACAAATAAACAGATCACAAAATATTATAATAAAAAATCCTATTTTATTTAAAATTCTTCAAATACAATTCTTCAGAATAATAAATAATCACTGTATCTTCTTTCCTGTTTGACACTAAAGATGAACTTTTTAACAGCACAACATACTGTAATAAACACCAGATAATGGTGTAGACCAATCGCAGAGCTTGCATTTGTAATTTAATTGCATTACCACTATAAAACATGCGACTGGCTTCTCCTGTTCTGGTTCATTCCCTGAATCTACCAGCAGACCAATAAAAATGCCCTGTTCTCATTGCAATAACAGTACTGAGTGCATGGGGAAACCCTCCGCTCTAATGCATCTGCAGTCTGACGGGCTGTCACTCAATCCATTAGTGGAGTATTGATTAACAAGACCCATCAGAGTCGGAGAAATTCATCTGATGAGTTTATGGATGTACAGTAACCTCTGGTGAACTCATAGGCTGAGATGAGGAGTGTGTCTGTGTGTGTGTGTGTGTGGGTGTGAATGATGGTCAGTGTAGACGGTCATTAACCTGCTCGTCGTCACGTCTGTCTGCACTGACCGAAATAAATCCTGTGTCTGGGGCTAAATGCTCAATTATTTCCGCAACCTGCACTTTCGGAGAGAGTTACACATGTGCGCACGGTGGAGGGATGATATGTGGATGAAAACACAGGCCTGAAAGAAATTTGGGGAAGTAAATTTGTTTTTGTTAAATTGAATAATAAAATATTTTAAAAATGATAAACATAAATAAATTAATAAATAAATAAGTAAAAACTGTAATGACAACAAAACAGTTTAATTATTGAATTTAGAATTATTTTAAGTCTTTGATTAATAATAGTAATTAATGCTTTAGCACATAAATTAAAACGTTTGTTTAGTGTTCGTGCTGAAATTGATTTGTATGACAATGTAAAAAAGTGTGTCCCATTCGCACTCATTTGATCTAAAGCAGGTCTGTAGTAGGTACTGTAGATGTCAGACAAACACTGAGCGAGAGGTCGGGTTGGTTTATTCAAAGGGAAAATAGCAGAGAGTCGAATGTCGGCCAGAGTCCCACACACACAAACACACGGTGAAATGTTAAGCCCCTCAGGGTTTGTGCTCCTCCACCATCAGACACTGAGAACCCTGATCGATTCATCACTGACGATTTCACAGGTGAAGAAAAGCCAAACACTATTAATGAACTGTTCTAAAGACTATAGATATATACAGACGCTTCACTGCCATTACAACGAATGAAGGAAAAGTTAAAAGCTTAGCATGACACTTTCCACAACACAAACATGGAACTTTCCTATCTTCTATTATAGATGTTGTTTAATAATTCAATATTTTGTGATATTGAACATGCAAAATACCAATATTGTGGGCAAAATACTGAGAAATAGGGCTGCACAATACATCGCTTCAGCATCGATTTCGTAATGTGTGAAATAGTCACATCGCAGGATATGCAATGTTGAGTTGAGTATAGATCGTCAACAATTGAGAATACAAGAGATTTGTGGAGTCATGGCAAAGTATAACCATGACAGAGTAAAACTTTATCCTTTGCATCTGTTTTAAAGGCATTTCAAGAACATTTGGGCACAATAACATAAAACATTTGTAATAATAATAAAGAAAACTATTACTGACTTATTAATACAGTAAAGACCATACAGTGTTATTTTATATTTCATTATTTAATTTCTATAGCTGAATACTGATTGTAATTTGTAATTTGATGTTGCGGTCATGTTGCAGTCTATTAAAATTTAGTGACAAGGCAGCACTGCCCCGATCGGGCCAGTAACGATTCTGTCTACTGTCCCGAGCATCTCTCACACTGGCCCCGGGCCATCGGACAGTCCTTATTGTTGAGCCCTGCTGTGCAAATCTGTCAAACAGCACTTAGGAAATATTTTCACGTGAACGCTGATAATTTAGCATTTATCTGTATTTACCGCTGTGTTTCATTAATTGTGTGATGTTTGCTATCATACTAATCTGCACTGATGTTTCCAAAAGGGTGGGTCGAGTGTGTTTCTCACCATGGGCTGAAGCTGACTGCCGGGCATGATGGCGTTGGCGATCTGCATCTGCTGTGCAAAATACCAATATTGTGGGCAAAATACTGAGAAATAGGGCTGCACAATACATCGCTTCAGCATCGATTTCGTAATGTGTGAAATAGTCACATCGCAGGATATGCAATGTTGAGTTGAGTATAGATCGTCAACAATTGAGAATACAAGAGATTTGTGGAGTCATGGCAAAGTATAACCATGACAGAGTAAAACTTTATCCTTTGCATCTGTTTTAAAGGCATTTCAAGAACATTTGGGCACAATAACATAAAACATTTGTAATAATAATAAAGAAAACTATTACTGACTTATTAATACAGTAAAGACCATACAGTGTTATTTTATATTTCATTATTTAATTTCTATAGCTGAATACTGATTGACTGTCCAGATAAACACAAAACACTGCTTATTTGGCTTTTTTTTTTGCTCTATTGCAATTATTTTTATTTGAAATTTGTTTATTATTTTTATACATGTTTCACATCCTTACAAAAACACCCCAATTTATCTAAATTAAGGATTATATTCCTCTAAATAGAGCTACTGAAGGGGGTGAAATTTTTTCATATTGCAATATATATATATAAATATATAAAAATACATAATAAATACATATAATTATCACAGGAAAACAAAATATTGCAATGTCATGTTTTGCAATATCGTGCAGCCCTACTGAAAATAATAATTTTTATCATTGAAGCTGTGCTTTTTAAGAATATTCACATTGAGTTTCATAACAACACTAAATGTTTGGAGACTTAATTGCTTAAATACTCATACAGTAGGTGATGTTAATTTATTTATTAATGTCTAATAACCTGTTAAAATTGTAGTCATAAACTAATTACAAGTCATAATTATTTTATTAAAGAATATTTTTATTTAAAATAATTAAAAACTATTAAAATCCTCTTTTTAACTATTAAGAAGTGTTTTTTTTAACTAATACTAATGTAGTAACTGTAATAAATCTGGCCTTTTCTCACTGTTAATTATATTGCATTAACTAACTTTAGACTTTATTGTAAAGTGTTACCTGTTGTGCTTAATAATACTTTTGCAATTAAATGTGGTTGAAACGATTATTAACTCCGAACATGGTATATACAATAAAGCAATACACAAAGTATTTGTTTTGTTAATATATCTGTTGAAGTAACCATTTTTTGCAGCTTCGGTCAATATTGTGATAATACTGCATGATAAAGGCTTCAGCAAGTAATCACAACATGTAAATTTAATATAGTCAAGAATAATTCTATATATTAAGCAACACAACTTCTTAGCTGATTGGTAATATATCCACCATTTCCCACACATGGCTGCTGTATTATTAATGTTAAATTATATGTTGCACTTCTGGT